ATGCAGATCCATGGTATAAAGAAAAACACTCTAAGGACTCCAAAGTTCTGATTTATTAAAGACCTGGATTCTTACAAATGCATAAAATTGCGCAATTACTCATAGAAAATCAGACCTCAATGTATTTTGCACCAGGTAGAAGATATATGAAGAACAACCCCATTTATATAAGGAGCCGTGGTCACGATGATTTATTAGGCAATTTCCCCACATGCAACACTATGTGAGCACCAGGCCCAGCATGGAACCCCAACCAGGAGAAGAAATCAAGATGTGGCCAGAGGGCCTGGAAAACGTCTGCCTTAAAGGGCATGTTTGTGTGCAGTTTGGCAGTAATGAGACCAAGTAGGGAGGTTGTGAAGAAAGAAAGAAAAACATTCCCCTTGGTCTCTAAAAACTAAGGAGGGAAGGTTTTCCCCGAGGAAAGCCATTCATTCCACAGCTCACTCCTCTCCTCTAAGACACGCAGGCTGAACCAGGGGCCCTGCTCCCCTCCCAACATGAGAGATGTGCTTACTGCTCCCCTAGGAAAAAGCCACCAGTCACAGCAGTAACTGAGACACATGTCACACGGGGACTTTCTCTAAATGGAAACTCGTGCTCCTTTGGGCCACATTCCCTTAGGGGTGAAATTCAGTTGTTGCTTTTCCTGAAGATCAAATTTTGCACTGAGCTGCACAAAATTATTCTGCCTCAGGGATACAAAAGCAGAGAAGGTGGTACTGGGTGATAGTCCTTGAATTGACTTGAGTTGCTGAGAAACAAGTATACACTTTAGCCTAAAAATGCCTAATGTGCCTCCTTCTGTGATAATGGCCGCTACCTCTAACAGAGATCTGTTTGTGAAGCTAGCAATTGGGTAAGGAGACTTCGTTTAAATAGATGGCTAGGGATACAACTGAATCTCTCATACTGTCCCTATTTACATGCACACACTCAGGAGAACTTGCACAGAAAGGCAGAGACATCCTGGACAAGATGTCATGCACTTCCCCAGGTAATTTCATAGAATATTGCCATGTGACATAGTTCCTTACCAAGCATTTAAATTGTATGATTGGACTCAATATAAGATTATGTTTCTAAGTTTAATTAGAGAATTTCAATATATATCATATGATATACATATATGTAGATTACACACACACACACACATTTATATATAAAGTTCATAGGTATAGAGAATTCTAGGGCAACTTGCTCTGGAAAACCCATTCTTTCCTTTAGGACAGCTCAAGGCATATGTAGACTTGTAGGCTTCACAGTTTGACTGTCGTTGCAGAATTTGGTGTAATTTATTGACTCCAAACTCTTCGTTTTGAGTACTTAAATCCTGTGGATGTTGGTGGACCTCCGTGTCATGTTTTTTCCTGCCACTTGCAACTGGTCCCCTAGGTTTGAGCACTGGTGATCACCTTCAGAGAGTGAATAGGGTTAGCCTCAGGCTCCACTGTGTATTTGCTTTCCAGTTAACTTGTGGGTTCAGATCAATGAATTCAGGCGCTCTCTGTGGTGTGAGAAAGGGGTACAGGAAAAAGGAACCTCACTAATTTATATTCAAGTTGTCACTATTCTTGCTTGCTTTCTTCCAAGATTTTTTCTGTGTGCAAAATGTCATTCCCCGGTTGCTTGAGTTCTATTTTCCCACTATTCTACTCAATTTTTCAATCACATCCAAAAGGAATATTTAAGTGATAAGCACCTATTTTCAAAGCAACCCTTAGAATGTAGATAGATGCAGTTTCTAATCTCAGCTTCGCAATAATTAATCTACCTGTACCTGTTTCTTCTTTTACCAAATAAAGATAATAGTACCCAACTCAAAATAGAAGTATATAGCAAAGGACCTGATGCATAAAAAGTATTTAGATAAAAGAAAGTTAAAATCATCAATATTCACAGATGTTTAATGATGAACTGACTAAAATAATTAGGAGTTCAAATCCAGGCAAGTTTTTAAAAATGCATGTGTTAATAAAAACATATGTATCATACACAGAATGCATAAAGCAACTTTGTACATCATTTACAGTTTATCTGGAGTGCTGACACAGAAAATCCACTAACCTAACATTTTCCTATCTCTCATTTATTATTCCATGCCCTCTACTTGTACATAAAACCAACCACTTATTTGCTTATACTTAAAATTAGTGCATTCTTTTAAAAATATTTATACTTGCTCAGTGTTTTTGCAACTTTCTGGCTCCTACAATTGTTTGCAACATGATTTCTTTATCTTAATTCATGAACAGATCAAAAGTCATAGTCATGTCCTCACACCCTTTTTGCACTATCCAATAATGTTAGTAATGCTGGGGAGTATGACAGCAGAAAGACAGATCACATTTTCAAAGCCTTGTTGTACATTTTTGTACAAAAGTACTGTGTACTTTTTTCTCACATTGCCACTTCACTTAAGCCTAACTCTAGTTACCAAGCCACTGATTTGACAATCCTTACCAAGCTGTATGGTTTCAAGGGGTCATAAAGAGGAGAGAAATTTAAGTTAATGTTTTTGCACCCTAGTAGATGACCAAAACCTGAAGGCACCAATCTCTCTTTCCATTCTTCAAGCTGGATTAAAGCATCTGTCCCGGAGTCATAGTGTCAGAAGTGTGGCTAGAATGAGGATGTTAATAAAAGAAAAATCCTGGTTTTATTATTTGACACAGCTACCAGTGAACAAGAGTCACTGTTTCAAGCAAGATCTTCCATGGAAGGCCAAGCGACATCAAAATATTACTATCACCTGCAAAGTGGAGATGCCTGCTTTTTAATTTACCAACTGATAGGAATGTGCCAGCAATTACTATTAATAGATTCTATTAGGCCATTGTGTTCATCATCAACCAACATTTTCAGAGTCTCATGTGGCTCAATTGTCAGACGCAAATTTACAAAGTTCCAAGGTTAAATGTGGAAATTATTCTTCAGCTTGAAAATAAAGCTAAATTTGGGTACTGTGATTCCAAGTGTTATATTTTAATGAGATAAATTGGATAATTATGGATGTTAAGTAGTCATTACTTTTAAATGCCTTGCTACCACTGTCTTTGAGTGAGACTATAAAATACAGATGGGACCTGGCATTTGTTAGGGAGGAGAATTTTATGTTAAAAATTCCCAAGGAACACCCCCCAAACTTATTACTTACAGTCCATTTTATTTTGCCAATGAAAGCTTTAGTGACTAATTGGTTCATTGAAAGTTAAATACGAGAATATTCCAGTCATTTTTTTCCAGTAAGACTAAACGATGGAAAAGAAATATAAAGTGTCGGAAATTGATGCATTCATGGTCTAATAGGAGTGGAATCATGTAGAAGTTCTGTGTAGTTTTTTCTTATTTGGGGGCCGATCCTGATTCACTACTAATATGTTTTTAAAAATCAAGGAGGAATTTGTTCAAACCACAGATCATGGGAATGGAATTAATATCACTGTGAAAACAAGAGCAGGGGAGTAAACTCTGGAACTCTGGCTAACAGGAACTGTGGAGCTCAGCAGCCATGCAGACCCTGTGACTCATTTCAGGAAAGAACTTCCTTTGGCCACTTTCCGAGGGATTTGATCTCTTCCATCAGCCATTAGCCCACCTCTCTACATTAAGCAGGTTGAGAGTCATCATAGTGCCCTGTAAAAAGAGGTGTGTGAGGTGTCACCAACATACTTGAAGGCAGTGACTGGGATTGCAAGAGACGAAATGCTCTGAAGAACTTTTTCTTTCTTCTTTTAGCATTTCTTTCAAAGCAAAAAAAATAAAAAAGAATTGGAAAAATAAATCTTTATGAAAAATTTTGGAATTCTTTTAAAATGAAAACACTACAGGGATTTTTTTTTTTTAGCTTCAATCAGTCTTGTTTTCCAATAAGTACGATACATGACATTTACAAACTTCAAGACGGGAGACAAAAAGTTGAATGCTTCCAATTAAAATACGTTTTCTTGGTGTTCCAGCGAAGCATTTAAATAGTGCAATTTTCCTGCATTTTTAGAAGGGGTTGCTGCAGTTATCCCCTGAACCCATACCTGTGGTTTGTTCTCTTGCAAGCTTCCCAATTTGCCTAGGTTAGGAAAGCCATTCATTAGGTGGCTGAAACCACCACCTTTCATTTCTCTCGTTCTATCAGATTGTGCTGCAGTGACTAACCCTTAAATCTCAGTGGCTAAAACATACAGCTTATTTCTCATCCCCACTACACAAGTACACATCCATCTTGGTCCACATGGGGTATCTCATCACCAGAGACAGGGAAGCAGTCACATCCAGATGATGCTGAGGGTCAGAGCTGTACCTTGAAAAGAGCTCTGGAAGGTCTTGCGTCAGCCATTAAATACTAACCTCTGAGTCAACACACATCAGAATTGGCCAGAATTAGGCACATGATACCATCCACACATGGAGATATTTGATGAACTGCATTAAACAGTACCACACTTACTATGATTGGACATTGTTTATTTAGAGGCTGGCTTTCAATCTTTCCTGGCACAAAGGTATCAGTGATTCTAAAGCCACTTACAGTTCATATGATATAAGTTGTTCCATCTCCTACCACCTCATTTTTGTCACCAAATATCCTTTTAGGTTAACTATTTTGAGTATGGCAATCATCATTCAAGAAGTTGGACATATATTGACTATCAATCCCTCATTTGTGTAAGATAGAGAACTCACTACAGTAGTTCTCCTCTTACCTTGGTTTCACTTTTCACAGTTTCAGTTAGCCATGGTCAACTGAGGTCTGAAAATAGTAAATGGAAAATTCCATCAATGAAAAAATTCTTAAGTTTAAATGCACACCATTCTGAGTAGTGTGATGGAATATTACACCATCCAACTTTGGCCTAAAATGTGAACTATTCCACTGCCTAATGTATCCACATCACATGTGGTACCTGCCCATTAATCACTTAGTAGCCATTCCAGTTACCAGATCAACTGTTGAGGTATCACATCACTTATGTTCAAGTAGCCCTTCTATATATTAAGCCTAACATGACATCACAATGCCTACGTCATTCACCTCACGTCATCTCATTAGCAGGCATTTCACCATCTCACAAACATGGGTATAGTACAAAAAGCTACTTTGAGAGAGAGAGACTGCATTCAGGTAATTTTATTCACAGAATATTGTTATAATTGTTCTATTTCATGATTAAGTATTGCTGTTAATCTCTTAGGATTAATTGTGCCTAATTCATAAATTAAACTTTATATAGGTCTGTATATGTAAGAAAAACCATAGAGTTTAATACTATCAGTGGTTTCAGGAAGCCAAAGGGGGTCTTGGAATGTTTCTAAGATCGGGGAGGACTGCAGAAGTTATCACCAAATTGAGAATTCATTTGTGCCTCCTTCTTCATTATTACAGGATTTTATGTTTTAATCACAACAAGGCAGACTACTAATTGGAAAATGCTTTGAATTCTCAAAACATGACTCAGCTTTCTGGTAAGAGAAGGAGAACCACTTTCAGAAATTAAGTTTAATAACTACTAATTCAGTGAAAATTTTGAATACCTTTAGGATTTTGCAACTATTTAAGAAAGCACTTCAAAATATACTACTTTTAGGCTCATGTCTAAATCTATTTTTAGTCTAATGCCTATTAGGTAAAGGTACCTGGCAAATACTTTGAAATTATATTATTTTGAATTCTAATTTTAAGGATATTAGCATGAAGAGTTGAGAAGTTGCAACCATTAGACACTACTGCTAGGAAGAATATCCTAAAAGTTCAAGAAAAATCGAGTTTACCTCAAAATTTACCACAATTAAAGAGACCTTGTAGCTTGCCTCATCAAATAAAAATTTATTCAGAACTCTAAAATAGGTGTCTGGTGCAGCTTGTGCTGCCACCTGCAGGGCTCACATCCCATATGGGCAGCGGTTGGAGTCCCAGCCACTCCACTTCAGATCCAGCTTCCCGCTAACTTGCCTGGGAAAGCAGCGGAGGATGGCTGAAGTGCTTGGGCCCCTGCAGGAGTCCAGGAAGAAGCTCCTGACTGTTGCCTTCTGATCAGCCCAGCTCTGGCCATTGTGGCCATCTAGCCGTGAACCAGCGGATGGAAGATCTCTCTCTCTCTCTCTCTGTCTCTTCCTCTCTCTGTAATTCTGCCTTTCACATGAATAAATAAATAAATCTTTTAAAAAAATAATTTGAGGTAAAGCAAAGCTGTTTTCCTTGACACAGCTGTAGGAGGGTGTAGCATGGCCAAGGCTGTGTCAGGATATAGTTTTCCATCCTGACTTGACTTTTTCCTTGTCTCTTGCATGGTAGTTTCTGGGATACTTTCAGAAACCTCTAGTGTTCTATAGAGCACAGGTTCAAAGTGCTAACCTATAGCTACTTAGTTAGTCGAGGTAGAAATGAGATTTGGAGGGTTCTACCAGGGGGCTAAGGGGCAGAGCTGGTTGATTGAAGGTCAGAAGTCTGAAAGTAAAAGATTGAGGATCAGGGCTCCCAGAAATGTGATTTGACAAACTCCAAGCATGGAACATATTTTGGAAACATTCGCCAGCCAGCCATGCAGCACCTCATTCAGTAGTTACTTACTATGTCTCTACTTATTGAGTAGGGAAATAAATGCAGGTGTCATAGGATTAAAAAAATTAGGTCACATTTCCTATATCCCAGGAACTTGCTGCCTAGTTTGCAGGAGGAAAATTATCTATTTTTTCTAAATCTAGTATCCATCTATTTGTGCATTCCATAAATACTTATTCAATAAACAGTTAACAGGTATCTTGTCTATTGGGCATATACTATTCAACTTCCGTACTCCTCTTTTACTTCTTCTATATGTTCTACTATTTTACAGCTTGTCACTTTTCCTTTCCTTATTCCTGATCTCCTCCACCTTTTCTCTTTAATGATTACCTCCATCTAAAATATTCCAGTAAGCTAGTGAAAGCCTGGAATTCCTTTTAGTATGGAAAGAGTCTTTCACTCCACACTGGAAGATAAAAGAGCTAGAATGCAAATGAGCGGTTGAGAGCACAGGTTATACTTGTGTGACTGGATTTCCGTTAAAGTGCAATTAATCAATCCATCATCAAGTATAAGTGACTGATAACAGGGTCTTTCCTGTTTTCATAGGTGTAATGAGTGGCAAAGGGGGAGGGGGAGTGGAGACAGTGAGAGGCCTTTGGGTAAGTGAAGGGGATGGGAAGGGTACCATCTAGAAATGGAAGGGGTTCTGGGACTGCCAAAGTCTTGATAGCTTGCCTGGGACAAATAGAAGCATTATCCCGAAGTATCTGTGGAGTGCAGCTGCAACATGAAGGCAGCTCTACGTGATTTATGAAAGGGCTCGCATGATTTATGAAGACTTAAAAAAACATCAGCACACAGCTGACTTTCTATAAAGGAGTTTCTTTCCCTGGGGATTCAAGGAGCTTGGAATTTAATGAGGGAAACCGAATCTACAATGAGATACGATAAGGAAATGAGACAGTTTCTCACACAGACATACCAGAATTTATGTATCCGATACTCTGGCCTTCACAGACCTCAGCCAAACTCAGCTACTCCGTGTTCCCAAAACATGAGTTGGAACTCTTCCATTCTCCCCATCACCCTGACACCCATTCTAATACAGTTCACGGCTCAGGAGTTTCATGGAACATTTTGCCTGGAATGACTGCTCCAGCTCCTCTTCTTTCTTTGCCCCCGACCCCCACTGCTGCCAGCTGAAAATCTGTACATCCTTTAAGTGCAAATCCAAACAGCACATAGAATTCTTCTTACCTTCAAACTTCTGTAGCACTCTTTTCATGCCTCACTCATTACATACAGTTTATTTTAACTACGTTATTGGAAAACATATTCCTTTAGGGGTATGTGGGTGTGTTTTAAGACAAAAATGAGAATTACAAAAAGAAAACAAGAAAGTTTTAGGCCTCAAGTTCATATGAATATATGGATAAGGTATCCCCAATTCTTATTTTACTTCTATTGTGTTTGGAGAGAGAATGGGTTTGTTTTCGGTTTTTGGCTCAGCAAGTAGTCCCATTACCTTAACTTTTGCCATCCAGTCAGAGCAGAGTGGTGGGTGACAACAGAGTGGCTGTGTAGAACATGTCTGGGCATGGCCCATTAAGTTACTCCAATTTCTTGTGGACACAGCGATTGGTCTAAGAGCCAGCAGTTGCCTCAAGTTCATCCCTTCAGCATTCTTGCCAAAGATCCCCTGATCTAAAACTAGGTAGGAGGCATTTGGGGCCATGATGCTGGCATGGGAGGCAGCTGGTATTTTTCCACAGTAATAAACTCTGAAGTCAGATAGGTAAGTAAAAATCAAAGTATGGAGGGAGAAAGAGAAATGAATATATATTAAATCCCAGTCCCAATTCCCTAGCTTATGGATCCTTAGGCCTCATGTTTCTGTGATATTATCTGGTTCCCTCTTTTTTGTTGCTGTTATGTATGCCAATTTAAGTTGGGTTTCTATCACTTTTATCTAAGGGTATTTGCTAAGGAGACCTCAATTAAACAGAATGATCTTAAGACCCTAATGGAAAGAAAAAAAATTGAAGAGGAAATAGAATCAATCACTTAATAAGTACAATAATTCTAACAGAATGTCTTGCTTTTTGAAAATATGTCTTGTGTTTGATTTCAGAACAAATGCTTTTTAATCAATGCTTAATGAAGACTAAGAAGAGAGAAAAAGAAGAATCCTAACTTAGATATTTATAAATATACATTTTTTTATTTTTAACTTTTGTTTAATGAATATAAATTTCCAAAGTACAGCTTATGGATTACAATGGCTTCCCCCCCATAACGTCCCTCCCACCCGCAACCCTCCCCTTTCCCACTCCCTCTACCCTTCCATTCACATCAAGATTCATTTTCGATTCTCTTTATATACAGAAGATCAGTTTAGCATACATTAAGCAAAGATTTCAACAGTTTGCTCCCACACAGAAACATAAAGTGAAAAAAACTGTTTGAGTACTAGTTATAGCATTAAATCTCAATGTACAGCACACTAAGGACAGAGATCCTACATGAGGAGTAAGTGCACAGTGACTCCTGTTGTTGACTTAACAAATTGACATTCTTGTTTATGGCATCAGTAATCACCCTAGGCTCTTGTCATGAGCTGCCAAGGCTATGAAAGCCTTTTGAGTTCGCTGACTCTGATCATATTTAGACAAGGTCGTAGTCAGAGTGGAAGTTCTCTCCTCCCTTCAGAGAAAGGTACCTCCTTCCATATATTTGTAATCTTCAAAAGAAAATTTCATGGCCAGCTGTCCACCAAAGATTTCCTGTCCATAACTTAGAATGTGGCTGAGCAGAGTCTAGAATGACACTCCATTTTGGTAGGGCCACATGAATCAAGGCACTATCAGGTGAAGGGGCAGGTATCCTTCTCTACCTTCCCTTTCTCCTCTGAATCCTTAGGGACAAGACAGAGCCATGATTGATTAACTTCCTTAATCATGACATGGACATTATAAGAATTATCAAAGAATGAAATAAACTTTCATTGCACTGATTCCCTGAGACTGTGAAGTCTACCTGATCTAGTTGTGAGCAGAACCCTGGCCAGCCCAGACAGCTTTCTCAAGCTTAGGCCACAGGGTCTAACGCTAAGTCCTGTGAAAATTTTGTAAGTTGTTGGACCAATTTGTGTCAGACAAGTCTCATAATCTTGTTTGGAAACAACTACTACTCAGTAGGAACAACAGTGATAGAGTATTAGAGCATTAGAGTATTTAGTATATCAGGGTGTAAATAAGATAAATGATATGCTTCTTTTGATATTACTGAAAACAAGATGAAATTGTATATAACCTACCTAGAGGAGTTACCCTACACTACTTATCATATTAAAATCTTCTTTCAAACACAGGACAAGGGAGACAAAGCTTAGGAACAGGGTGAGTATCAGTGACTTAAAATATTCATCCATGGAACACATCTCAGTGGAATGGGTAAAGACCATTCAAGGAGGGACAGAGAATCTAGACTTCAGATATTTGGTGAGCTGTTTTCTAGAAGAATCAATGCTTTTTGGGCACAGTAAATTCACTAAGAGTATTCTTGCTGATCACAAAACTCTGACAGGTAAAAAGATAATTCAAGTGGGAGATGTTTGGTGCAGTAGTTACGATGCTGCTTGGGATGCTGGCATCCCATATCGGAGTGTCTGGTTCAAGGCCTGTCTCCTCCACTTCTCTCCTAATGCATACCCCGACAGGCAGTGGTGAGGGCCCAGGTACTTACATCCCTGCCACCCATGTAGAAGACACAGATAGAGTTCCAGGCTCCTGGCTTTGATCTGACCCAGCCCTGGAGTTTTTGGTATCTGGGGAGTAAACCAGCAACAGTATATCTCTGTCTATCTGTCTCTCTCTCTGTGTCTCTCTGCCTTTCAAATAAAATGAAAAAAAAAATGAGTAAAAATGAAAAATGGTAACTCAAGAGTCAAGCTCTCAGGAATGATTGCCTAAATGTCCCTTAATCCCTTCCCAATCTTGAGAGTATCTTTCTCTTATAATGAGGTTTCTTTTTATTTTTTATATTTTTATTTATTCATTTGAAAGACGAAATAGAGTCAGAAAGACAAAGACAGAGAGTGTTTATCTGCTACTTCACTTCCCAAATGCCCACAAGGGTCAGGAAAAGGGCTGGGCTCTATTTAGGGGCCAGGAACACATTCCAAGTCTCATATTTGGCAGGAACCCAGTAACTGGAGCTGTCACTGCTGCCTCCCAGGGTCTGCATTGGAAGGAGGTGGAGTCAGGAGCAGTAGCAAGGAACTGAGTCCAGGCACTCTACTATGGGGTGTGGGTATCTTAACTGCTGGGCTAAAAGCCTACTCCCAGGTTTTTAAAGTCATAGGAGCTGTGACTGTATTTGACTCTTTCACTATAGTTGTTCCACCAATATTTACTAATGAGTGAGTCTACTAGAATTTGCAAATTGCTTGGATCTACAAGACAAGGAAGAACAAATCCTGCAAGCTGAAGAAGGTGGGCTGACTTTGAGGGGCTTTGTGGTGTGAAATGCTCAGTGCCTGAATTCAATGCAGAATCCTGCTGCTGTTCTTTTTAACCTTGGCCTTGAAGAACAGACTGCAACCCTGGAGTTTTATTACCATTCTCAAAACTGCATCCCATTAGTACTTTCAGAACCAAAGCAGGACAGACAAGCTCTTCTGTCTTTTAGCCCAAGACAGTCCCAGATGTCCTCAAACACTCACCCACACATTACAGGGCGGGGACCTTCTCCATGGAAGGCTGAATTTTCCAGCTTGGCTCGCTCACAAACAGGCAGCACACCAGTCCTCAGAAACCCGTGTCACAAGTGTCACCCAGGACTTACAAGCCGGCTGAAGAAATAAAGAGAAGGCTCAGTAAAACTTCCAGTGGTTTCAAAGCCCCGGGAAACCGAATGCAGGGGCAGGCACCAGGATCACTCAACAAAAGTAATTTCCAGAGCTTACTTACAGTCAGCGCCCAGCTCTCTGATAAGCACTTGGAAAGGGTTCTGTTACTACCAAGGATTCTCAGGGAGCTGACTCAGCTGGGTTTTGCTCCAAGAGGAGAGAGGCAGCAGCCGGTCACCCCAGTGCACTGCTGAGGCCAAGGGAGCCAGAATGAGGAACCACACCCTTCGGGCACGTACACAGGAGCTAAACCTGCTCTCAGCTCCATCAGGATGGCAGCCTGTGTGCTAAGGTAGGCAAGGGGTTTCCACCGTGAGAAAAGCTGGATGGCCAGCTGCGTCCCTAGTGAAGCTGCGTCCCTAGCGAGTCAGCAGAAAAGTGAAACAAGCAGGTAGCAAACCTCACTTCCTAGGATCTCAAACAAAGAAATATTAGGGGCTCTTCCTTTCTGTGTAAGTCTAACGTCTTTACACAGACACTGAGAAGCGCGTCGTTTTAAATAAGTTTTCTTAAGAGACAAGCACCACCTGTTCCTTGAGTCCCTGGGGAACCACCAGTTTATTCAACAGCTCAGCCATTTCCCATGTGAGTGTAATCAGGAAAGCTAAGCTTCAGCTGCTCCCAGCCCCAGCCCCGTCTGGCCTCTCCTTCCCCGCCTCCAAAGGGGCAGGGCCAGGAGCCAGAGGAGGAGGCGGCTGCGCCAGGAGGGTGGGAGGGGATAGGCGTGTCTGGTTGGCTCTGCCCTGGAGCCAGTTATTTTATTCACCACAGGCTTCAGTATCCTCAGGGAGAGCCGGTGTAGATGAGACCTGGCAAAGAAGGATTAATTCCTCTGCTCCCTGACCATTCCCTGGGGTGCTCAGTCAGTGGAGGTCACCAAACTGCTGCTCCCTGCTCAGCCATGCTTCTCCTGCGAGGGCGGGCAGGAGCTCAAGAGATCAACATCCTTTGCTACTCAGTGGAGCATGAGAGACAAACAAGAAACAAGGCACTCTTAAGCTCTCCTGTCCGGACTCCCAGGCTGCTAAGTGGCTGTCAGGACAGGAATGGACTTTGCTGGTTCTCTGAGTGCCACCCAACCCTGCATCCATTGTGGAGCGGCCCTGCTGCAAGCTGCCAAATGCATCAGACTTCCACAGTCATTGCTGCAGGACCCGATATCCGCTTTAACCACACCCTACTCACAATCTTCAGTGCAAAGTGTCAAGGTCTTTTCTTTTAAAAAAAAAAAAAATTACTTAGGAATGCACAGAGACAGAGAAAAATCTCCCATCTGCTGATTCGCTCTCCAAAATCTCACAATAGCCAGGCTGAGCCAGACCAAAACCAAGATCCAGGAGCTCAGTCTAGGTCTCCCATGTAGGTGGCAGGGACTCAAGTACTTGAGCCCTCATCTGCTGCCTTCCAGGGTGCACATTAGAAGGAAGCTAAAATTGGGAGTAGAGCTGAGACTTGAACCCTAGAACTCCTATAAGGGGTGTAGACATCCCAAGTAGGTTTTTTTTTTTTTTTTTTTTTTTTTTTTTTTTTGTCAGGCAGAGTGGACAGTGAGAGAGACAAGGAGAAAGGTCTTCCTTTGCCATTGGTTCACCCTCCAATGGCCACCGCAGCTGGCGCGCTGCGGCCTGTGCACCGCGCTGATCCGATGGCAGGAGCCAGGTACTTATCCTGGTCTCCCATGGGGTGCAGGGCCCAAGCACTTGGGCCATCCTCCACTGCACTCCCTGGCCACAGCAGAGAGCTGGCCTGGAAAAGGGGCAACCGGGACAGAATCCGGCGCCCCGACTGGACTAGAACCCGGTGTGCCGGCGCCGCAAGGTGGAGGATTAGCCTAGTGAGCCGTGGCGGCGGCCCCAAGTGGGGTCTTAACCTCTCTGCCAAGTGCCCATCCCTATGGAGATGCTCATGAGGTGAGGTTTCCAGCTGAGAAGTGTCAGTTTTGCTGAAGCCTGACTGTTCTTGAAGTTTGTCTATTGATGAGCTTTGGCTGGTGTTTAAGGTGAGCATTTTTAGTATCTGGATCTTATGTAAGGAATAAACCTTCAATAATTTTTTCTTTTCTCATGGAACATCTTTAGCTGTGGATAGTGGCTGGACAGCACGGAAGAGAAGTCAGCCTTAGAACCAGCCTCAGCCCCCAAAACAACTGATTGCTCTCTATGCAATCATCTAGAACGTTCAGCACTCCTGAATCATTCCAAGAAGCAGCCAGCACAGGGATGTGGTTACCTAGAAGTAGGTATGAAAAGCTTCGGCCTTGTCTACCGGAACAGCAGGGTTCAGCACAGAGGAG